GGGTGGGTGGGGGGCGAGGGAGTGATGAAGACTTACTCATCATTACAGTTTCATGCGTCAGACGATCCGGCATCCCAACAAACGAAAATTGACGCTGACTTATTCCTGACTCATTACTACCACAACTTCTCCTGGTTTTTGTATCATGACGAGGTATGGAGTTTTGTTGCACTAGATCAGGCGTCCTGATAGCGCATCATAGTTAGAGTATATATAAACTCGACATAACCTTTCTTTACTATCCAGGGAAACCAAACTACTGGTAATTCTGCAATTGTTGACATGAAGTTTTCCAATAACATTTTTTAAATTAATACGAACTTTCTTTCAAATTGTTAACTAAAACTAAAAGTTTGGTTTCTATTCATCCAAAACAATAAAGTGGAAATAACTTTTAAGTCTTATTTATTCAATGCTTTCCGCGCCTTATTGTATGGGACAAAACCGAAGGCTATGTTTTCAACTCAGTTAAAGCTAACACTCGAGCTTAGTTCGGAAATCAGTAACACCTCCTTATAACCTAATTATTCAGTAGATGCCAATTTTTAGAAGCAGTTGTCGCCGCACTTCTTGTACTCGTTGATAAATTATAAATTTGTTCTTATGCGATCGTAAATAGTAATTACATAATCGTAAATTTTTCTTCAATCGAAGCTTAAATATCATATATCTCTTCTTGGATTAAAATACCCATCGCTTAATTTATCCTGATCGATCAGTGATTGCGAAAGGCAGCACATGGTCCCAACGTTTTCCAGCTATATTTTCTTAGCTCATAGAAAAATTCAAGTGAGTTACATGTTTTTATACTGCATGTTTTTTTGTTACGAGCTCTATGAACTCCTTGACGCTACGTGGGTAAATAAAGTATTGATTGATTGATTGATTGATTGACACTAGACATTTTTCAGGACTCTCCGCTAAAAATTTTTTCGTATAGATAATTCAAATCGCTAACGGTGTTGCATAGTATAACCTCGAACCTAAAGGAGAAATAGAGAACATTAGTTCAGTGTAAAAAAAATGTAAAAAGATATTAATAAACCGGGAAGAAATATGAATGGCTAGGAGGCAACCGACCAACTTGAAAGACTTGGGCTGAGTACTTCAAGTCAAAAGGTTTTTGTCTCTAAGAGTAATAGTAAGTCTGGATGTTATCGGTAAGAGTTCTTCCAGACAAGTGATAAAACAGCATTAACATTAAAAAAACAGACTGGTAAGGAACGGCTGAAGAAGCAAATTTCATTTTTAAAAAAAAGTCTATTTCAAAATGTACACTTTGTTTTTGTCAGAGCTGGTCACAAGAATACGCCCATCTGGTGCTGTTGTTATCGCAGTCGGGGATGATAACTGACGAGTGCTACTTTTGCCTGTGAAGCGACCATCTAAAGAAAACTGCTGAACTCGACGATTGCGAAAGTCGCATACAAGAAGATTATTGGAGCTGTCTACAAGCAAACCATGCGGCCATTTGAATTGTCCATCTCCACTCCCTGGTGTGCCAAACTTGTATAAGAATGTTCCTGACTGATCGAAAGCTTTTATGCAGTGATTGTAGGCATCAGATACGAGAAACATGTTTTTGTAAGGAATGCAGCATATTGGAAAAAAGAGTTTCCCCGGGCCGCAGTCTCCAAACATGAAAATGGATTCTCCCTCCTTTGATATCACCTGTATCCTATGATTGTTAAACTCGGTTACCACAATGCGATCTTCATCATCCACAGTAACATATTGTGGAGCCATAAACTCTCCTTTTTCTTTACCGCATTTTCCAAAACTTTTCACCACAGTTCTTGTCTGAATATTCAGTCGTTGCAATCTATCATTGCCTTGATCTGCAATTATGACTTCGTCCTCATTTAGAAACGAAATACCCTTAGGGTAATGAAATTGTCCTGTCTTGCGACCCTTGCTTCCGATTTTTTCCAAACAGTTGCCATTTTTATCAAAAACATAAACACAGTGGCCACCCTCTTCTGTTACAACTATATCGCCTTTCGTATTCACAGCAATTCCATATAATCCTTTAAGCGTGTCCCCTGGAGAGAGCTTTAGCTTCAACTCACCGACCACAACAAGTTCACGTTCTTTGACTTGCACTGTTATCGGACAGGTAGGTAGTTTATCGCCATTAATTTTCGCTTCAATGCTGTAGGCCCCAGGTACTTTGGGAGTAAACATTACCTTGACATTTCCGTCATCTTTGTCTTCGACTTTCACGTTTGTTACATCTTTGGCGGGTTTTATCAGCAGTTCAATTTTATCTTTAAGATCATCCTGGCCAATCATCTCTCCTTCAGTTGTTTTTGGGCACAACAAAAGCTCTGCTTGTACACCAGCCTGGAAAGCTTGATGGAGTCCTTCCAGAGTTGATTTAGCAGCGTTTGCCGGTTTCTCGGTGAACTGAATAGAACCCAGTTTAAATTTTTGCTGCGATTCCGCGGTAAATTTGATAAATGTATTCTGGCGATGTTTTGGAATTATAACACCAAGAAGCTCTTCAAATTTCTCCCTCAAAGTATTTTTGTTCTGTATGATATCCACAGTTGAGCTTCTCTGCACCAGATTCTCCGCAAACTCAGCTGCTTGGTTCATTTGTTTAGCCAGAGATTCCAGTTGTTGTTTAACCGAGTTGATTCGCTCGATTCTCTTCCTACGCGTTATTTCTAGGGACTCTAACAGTTGTTTTTCTTGTTGTCGCGTCTTTGAGATCGCGTGTTCAGCTGCCTCAGACACTTCTTGTTTAGCGATTGTCATAATCATTTCCACTTCCCCAGATGTTTTTTCCAATTTTCTAATCTCCTCTTGAAACAAGTTTGCCTTTTCCTTGATGGTCTCGACGTTGGACATGATGTTTTTCTTATCCTCTTGCATTGCTTTTTCAAGCACTTCAAACGCATGGCCTCGGTGGTCTTCAGTCACGCAAATTGGACATACACACGCTTCACACGAGGAGCAAAAATATCGTAATCGTTCCTCATTGTGTTGCGAGCAAGTCTCTTGTTGCAGCCTCGGCCCAGCTCCACGATCTTCTGCTTCAAGGGCACCTATCAGACTTTTGTGAAAAAAGCTGTTGGGCAAACGGTCGAAGCGATTTCCTTCTGGCAAATCGATTTCTGCCTGACACTCGGGGCATCGATATTTCCCTTGTCTCTGACTCACTCTTGCATGTCTCTCCAAACACTCACAGCAAAACGTGTGAAGACATGAAATAGTTTTGGGTTCGATGTAGGTGTCGAGACAAATTGAACAAGTAACTTGTTTCTTGAGATTTTTCAAGAGAGGATCCATGACGATCGCTGTTGACTACAGTAGATTCGTCATTCAAGGGAAGAACACTCCAAGATATTGTTTTAGTTAATTCCTGATGACAACTGACTTTTCTTGGCCAATTACATGCGAGGGTTTATTATTGCGAAAGAACTGACCTCTTTCGTAATAATAAATAGACTTAATTGTCTGGGGTGAAACCCATTTTATTAAAGGTGCTTAAAATAAAAGTTACAAAAAGTTAGATAAGTAGGATCTGGAAAAGCGCAGCAAATGAACCTTTTTTTCTTGTATTTTATAAAGTGAGCGGTCAAATGCGCTTGAAAATATTAATTCTACAAATCTGTTGGCCTTCAAAGATCTTTAAAAGGTGGTCAATGCTTCCCTCCCCACCCCTCATACCTTCGCATTTTTTCTCAGTTTTTCCGTCGTCAATAGCAACCCTCTATCGCATGAAAGGGAATTTGGCTCACAACAGCGTCATCAGCTGAGACCGAAATTTGTGATTTGCTTTCCTCTGGCGAGACATTCGATTATATTTTCTATCTATCCCCGGGTTACTCATTCCAGAGATCTTTGTGAAGTGCGGTTATTAAGACGCTTAAGTTTTAGAGGGCATCGTTTTTTTTAGAAAAACCATCAAGCCGCTTATTACGACTATATTTAGATTTCCGAGAAAACAGAACGGAAATCTGTCATGACTTGACTGATCACATTCGATGGATTAGTTGACCTCTTTAGTTTGTGATTTGCAACTGTTTATCTGTCGCCTTGGAACTTATTTTTAAACATATCCTTTCCGCGATGTCATTCGGGCTCTCATGGCGAGATACAATTTGTAAAAAACTGAAACTGAAAGTTTAGAAGATAAACAAGACAAAACTTCAATTTATTCGTTTGAGTTTACCATGGAACCAAACTTGATAGTTTTGATGAACCTGAGAGCCATTATCGAAACAAAACGCTGTAAGTTACGCAAATCGAGGTGAGATGATCAAAAATGCGCGGACAGTTCGAATTATTACCTATTTGTAATAAGTGCTATAGCGTTTTTTTGTGAATATGTTGTTCAACAACACCGGAAATGGTGAGCGGATTGCAAGTCGTATGTTTTTGTTTCTTCAAGTCAGAAAAGAGAGGCACGCGAGCTAATTTATACAAATTAGCATCATGCTGCTTGTTTATTTCGCTTCCCATTTTGCTCACACTTTAATCCTATGAAATAACAAGAGGGGCTGGCTTGGTGAGGGGGGGGGGTGGAAAGGAATGGGATGGGGGTGGAGGGAAGAGATGAAAAGTAACTCATTACAGTTTCGTGCGTCAGACGACCACTTCCTATTTGTTTGAGATGACCTAGAGCAGAAATAGGTATTAAAAAGTAATTTACGTACATTTGTAAAAGGAGACAAATCCTTTGATAACCAAATGACACAGGCTAAATGAAAATAAACATATGGGGTAACTTCTTTTCCATCGTCTTAACTTTCTTATCAGCACCCTCTGAAGTTTGTTCCCATTCGTTTGACACAAAAGATTCACTTACTGAACGATGTGTCTGCATATCTGATGTTTGGTGTAAGAAAAGACAATTACTACCCACTGCGTTTAATTGATTTATTTGACTGATTATTCCGTATTTTTTACTGAGTGGGAGGGGAGTGACGGGAAAAGATTTGGCTCGAGGCCCCAACGTACTAACTGAGTGCAGCGAAAACCGTTCGCCATGATTGAGCACCAAATAATTTCTCGTCCAGCCCAACCAAATCAGTCAATAGGCAATTTATCATATAACCACCTAATGTTGAAAATTTTTATTCAAACTAGAAAGTATGCCATAGACAGGCGCTCGAGAGACAGGTTTTTGCGACAAAGCCATGTGAGTGCAGAGGCCCGTTTCTCGAAAGCCTCGGTACCTCAACGGGCCCGAAACCTTATTTTACAATCAAAATTTCGAGAATAGAGAAGCAGCTTCTGACATCATAACCAGCCCATTTTGTTTTTCTAGCTAATAGCCTTAGTTTATAATTTTCAAAACTATTGCAACGCCCACCTTGAATGAAAGAGAACAGCTTTACGGGCCCGTTGATTTACTAGGACTTTCGAGAAATGGGCCATAGGACTGGACGGCGGACTGGCTTACGTCTGCCCGTCCAGTCCTACCACATCAACTTTCACCATGGTTTTATATGGGCTCGCACAGGTCATATGACAAAAGCTGTTGCGGCCTCGTGGTCTGGCAAAGCATGATCCACCAAAGAATTTTTGCTAAGAATTCACTGCAATTTGACAAACTTCATAGGTCCCCAATATGTGTAAGAACTGTGATCATTATGGCATATGCGGTTTCCAACAAGTCCCATCGTCGGCTGACCGCTAAATACAGGTTAGACTGCGAATCATTATTACGAGATGTTATAATCCAGGTTTCTGTAGAATGAAATGGTAAGGATTTTAGTCTCCCCCCCTCCCATGGAAAGGATGTTTGTCCTAAGACCTAAGACTACTGTCCAAAACAGCTAAGCACAAGTTAGAAAATCCCTAACCGCCCCCACTATACCCTTTAGATTTGCATTAAAAGAGAAAGGAGTTTTCACTCGTACTTCTTTTACTTATTGACTACTGGTTTATTTGAAATTAAAAAATCGCAAATGGCACTTCACATTAAGCTCAATGGTGAATATCTTTTCGGGGAATAAAATGCACGGTGCCAGATTCAACTGATCAATCCGTCATTGCAAAAGTTACCACGAATATGTTACACTAAAATATGTATAAAATGAAAAAAAAAAAGATAATATAACATAATTTTGTTGTACTAGAAAGTTTGGGAAAACCTTCCATAAAAGTGCTAAATCAAGATACTTTGGCTACATGTAAAATTATCTCTAACATTGAAGGGAACAACAGTATATTAGTCCGGGGAGAAAACAAAGCCACTGTAATAATAATAATAATAATAATAAAATCTTTATTACCGTGTCAATGTATTTAGCTCATAGAGCTAATTGGGGACACCTACTTTTACTAAATTAATAAAAAAAAAAAACTATGTACAGTATCATAATAAGTAACAATACAGCCGATAAACTATGCATTAAAATTTTAAAATATTTAGAAATATCAACAGTGTTCAGATAACATAAAAATACTTGTACCATGCAGATAATTAAAAAAAAAAAAACTAATGCTTAGTCTTCATTGGTATCCTTGGAAGGGATGCACGATAATTGCTTTGCGGAGGGAGCTTTGCATCTCCTCATAATCCATTTTCTTCTTTTTTCAAAAGGCGGGGGAGATGGATTGGTCACTTAACTGTGGTAAGGACGCTGCTAACAGATCAAGATACTCACAACCTTGATACCTTAGTGTGTGTTTACCATAGCGTATAGTGTTAAATCGTGGTATTTCAAAGTCACTATTCCTAAGGTTATAACGAGTACCCTTTCGAGTAAATATCTCAGATATGTAGCTGGGTACTAGATCGTTCTTTACTTTATACATTAGTGTTGCTATGTCCTGTAAGCGTCTATTATGAAGCGTAGGTAACTTAGCACGCTTAAGAAGTTCCTCATATGTCTCTGTTGTTGTTTTGAAGACCGCACGCAGGGCTCGCTCTTGGATGCGTTCGATTTTGCGCCCATCTGAAGATTTACAAAAGTTCCAGACTAAATGACAGTATGTTAAATGTGGCATTATAGCTGTTTTATACAGTATGAGCTTAGCTTGGCATGGTATTAGGTTACGCAAGCGCATGAGGACTCCTACTTTCTGGCTGGCTTTAGTGCATATTTCGCTAATGTGTTGTGTAAAGTTAAGGTTCTTGTCTATATTTACTCCTAATAGCTTGATTTCTTCAGTTTTCCTGATCACGTCATTGGCGATGGTGAGAACGCTGCCCTTCTTATCTGCATCTATGTTTCTTGGGTTAATCGTAAGAGACTGAAACTTATCTGGATTTGCCAAGAGGAAGTTGTCCCTATACCATAACAGTGCTTGTTGACCCTGAGTCACTAGAGTAGATTCGACTTCTTCATAGGTTTTTCCTGTCACATATAATTGTAATAAAAATAAACCTTGTAAGAAAACTATAGGGATGGCAGAGGATGAAAATAATTGAAACTGGATTAAGGAGAATTTGAAAGACTTGGGTTATCTGTCTCCCTCTCAAAACGTTAGTTCTTTAAAAAAAAATTATCAAATCTCTCTCTACAGATTTTTTGATATTATCCACCACAATTCTTCAAGAAAACTTGAAAAAGGAAAAGAGGAGAAAAGCAAAGAAAGACAAACACAGAACAAAAAACCAACCGAAAGCAGTTCGCGAGCACATTTAAAATGATGACACCGGAAGACTGAAACAAGGACGTCATTCATGAGAAACTAGAGCCCTCCAAGCTTATAAAATGATATCAATCGTTTTTAAGAGTAACTATTTTGGTATCCATCACAGCCGGCTCCTTTCAACTGAACCGTTGAGGGCCAACAGATGCAATAGAAGATGAAACATATAATACAAGACCTCGATACAACCAAATGACCTGAGAGGCAACTGGCTCTAGATCCATACCTCTCCTGACAGACTTCATGGGCAAGATATTTGTAAAGGTTACTAACTACAGACTCCATGAAAAAAAAAACAAAAACAAAAACAAAAACCAAAAAGAAAAAAACAGACAAACAAACCAAAAACAGAATAAATCATCTAGTCTTAATTCTCTTATTACGTTTATCCTAAAATCACATAAATTCAGGTAATGAGTGATGCTAGAGGTAACATTTACGTTTAAAACGTCTACTTCAAAATGTACACTTTTTTCTCATCCTCACTAGTCACAAGGACGCGCCCATCTGGTGCTGTTGTTATTGCAGCAGGTTCTGGTAACCGAGTGATGCTTTTCCCTATGAAACGACCGTCCAATGAAATCTGCTGAACTCGGTTATTGTGATAGTCACATACAAGAATATTATCAGAGCTGTCTACAAGCAGACAACCAGGCCAATTGAATTGTCCATCTTGATTCCCTTGTTTTCCAAACTTGTATAAGAATGTTCCTGACTTATCAAAAGCTTTTATGCAGTAATTGCCTCCATCAGATACGAGAAACATGTTTTTAAAACTAATGCAGCTCCTTATCTTGCAGAGTTTCTCTGGGCCCCAGTCTCCAAATGTGAAAATAGGTTCTCCCTCCTTTGACATCACCTGTATCCTATTATTTTCCCACTCAGATACAACAACGCGCTCTTCCTCATCCACATTCACGTCGATTGGAAAGCCGAACTCTCCTTTTCCTTGACCGTATTTCCCAAAAATTTTCACCACTGTTCCTGTCTGAATATTGAGTCGTTGTATTCTATTATTGCAGCTATCTGCAATTAGGACCTCATTGTCATTTAAGAAGGAAACACCTTCAGGGTACTGAAATTTTCCTGCGCTGCTCCCCATACTTCCAATTTTTCTCGAACAGTTGCCGTCTTTGTCAAAGACATAAACGCAGTGGCCCTTGTTATCTGTCACAGCTATCTCGCCTTTCGTGTTCACAGCAATACCATTTAATCCTGTAAGCGTGTCTCCTGGAAAGAACTTTAACTTCAACTCACCGGCCACAACAAGTTCACGTTCTTTTACCAGCACAGTCATGGGACAGGTAGGTAATTTATCGCCATTAATCTTCACTTGAATGCTGTAAGCCCCAGGTACTTTGGGAGTAAACATCAACCTAACATTTCCGTCATCTTTGTCTTCGACAATCACGCTTATTACATCTTTGGCGGGTTTTATCAACAATGCGACTTGATCTTTAAGATCATCCTGGTCACTCATCTCTCCTCCAGATGTCCTTGGGCATAACATGAACTCTGCTTGTACACCAGCATGGAAAGTTTGATCCAGTCGTTCCAGAGTTGATTTAAATGCGTTTACCGGTTTCTCAGTGACTTGAATAGAACCCAGTTTAAAGTTTTGCAGCGATACCGCGGCAAACTTGACAAATGTAGTCTGGCGATGTTTTGGAACTTCACTTCCTCGAAGCTCTTCAAATTTCTGTCTCAAAGTATTTTTGTTCCGAATAATATCCGCAGTTGAGTTTCTCTGCACCATTTTTTCTGCAAACTCAGCTGCTTGGATCATTCGTTTCACCAAAGATTCGAGTTCTTGTTTAGCCGAGTTGATTCGCTCGATTCTCTTCCTACGCGTCATTTCTAGGGACTGTAACAGCTGTTTTTCTTGCTGTCGCGTCTTTATGATCACGTGTTCAGCTGCCTCTGACACTTCGCGTTTAGCGATTGTGATAATCATTTCGACATCTTCAGATGTCTTTTCCAGTTTTCTAATTTCTTCTCTAAACAAGTTTGCCTTTTCCTTGATAGTCTCGACGTTGGACACGATGTTTTTCTTCTCTTCTTGCATTGCTTTTTCAAGCACTTCAAACGCATGGCCTCGGTGGTCTTCAGTCACGCAAATTGGACAAATACACATATCACACGAGAAGCAGAAATACCGTAATCGTTCCTCCTTATGTTGCGAGCAAGTCTCCTGTTGCGGCCTCGGCACAGCTCCGTGATCTTCTGCTTCAAGGACACCGAGTAGACTTTTGTGAAAAAAGCTGTTGGGCAGACGGTCAAAGCGATTTCCTTCTGGCAAACCAATTTCAGCTTGACACTCGGGGCATCGAAATTTTCCTTGTCTCTGGCTCACTCTTGCATGTCTCTCCAAACACTCACAGCAAAACGTGTGAAGACATGAAATAGTTTTGGGTTCGGTGTAGGTATCCAGACAAATCGAGCAAGTAACTTGTTTCTTGAGATTTTTCAAGAGAGGATCCATGACGATCGCCTATAAATGCGATACATTCGTTATTCAAGCGACGTGCCCACTAAAAGCACTCTTTCAATATCTAAGATATCATTTCGGTTTCGATAAAATAGCACAAAGTCTGTGACTTTTCGCGGCTAATTTCATTCGAGGGTTTAGATAAACTTTTTCCGAAATGAACAATGGACTTTGTTGCTTTAGTTGAAACCTCAATTTTTAGACAATCATCCGAAGGCGTAACTAAAGGTGCTTTGAATGAAAGCGACTTTAGACATAAATTTAAATAAGTGTGACTAGGAAAAATTCCACCAAAGAGATTTTATCGATGTGCAATTCGAGGAAGAATTTTTTTACCCTGTAGATTTAAAAAGGATGGGCAGTACTTTCAAACAATTTAAAGAAACTGGCTTTGTTTCAGAAAAAAGTCGACAACTGATCAACTTACTAATGAAAGTTTTATGCATCAGATGTTCATCTCAACAACAAAAAAATTACGCTGATATATTTAGATATGATATGGACACTTCATATTTACTTTCATTATGGACCGAAATTATGGCCTGCGAGGTATGTGATCCGGGGAGAAAAAGGGGCTTATTAATCCACTGGGCAAACTACAGGGCAAACTACAGGGCAAACTGCAACATAAGCGAACTACAGTGATTAATCGCAAATCATCGACCACTTAATTCTATGACGATATCCAGCGGATTATTCCTAATCACTCGTAAACACAGGGTGGCAGTCCAATTGGGCATCCGATTGGCAAAATCATATGAAACGCCGGTCAGCGAGAGAACAATTTAGCACGGAACGATTCCTTCTAAAATGAACTTTTTAACACGTTGCACGATCTTAGGAAGTTACTAATCCCAAGTGTATCATGAACTTAATGAAAGGGAAATTAATTGTCAATCAATTATGACTCATATCTAATTATATACTTTTCTGAACGAAACAGTACGTATACATTTCTGAAAAAAAGCTGATAGTTTCTAAAGAAACTGTTTGGCGCTGCGTCGGTGGGGGTAACGAAAGAACTTGAATATATCAACAAAGTTGAAATGGTAAATTGGCCACCGTTACGGTTATAAAAGCTGACGTTTCCAGCGTTAGCCCTTCGTGAGCGTTAGCCCCAACGAAGGGCTAACGCTCGAAACGTCAGCTTCAACCGTAACGGTGGCCAATTTACCATTTCAACTTTGTTGATATATTCAAATTATTACATTTCTGAAAGACCTTTATGTTTATCTACTCAGTTTATTAAATGGGATGTCTGTGGCATACCATGTTAGAAATTCGCGTGAGTGTTGTAGAGTCAGATCGTAGTATTTTCTCTCCCGAAGTTGGTTAATATCACGTCGCACATTTGCATTTGCAACCCGTGAAACTCATGATCTCCAAGTAGCAAAAGGAAGCCTACAACGACACAATTCTCTCCAGTATTTTCATATTTATTTTACTCCATCGTCTTTCGAGTCCACGTACACGACACTAATGAAAACTTCAATTCATATTACATTTCCTTGTTGCTTTTACCACATCCCTCATGATTCTGAGTCAGCTTCAGGGATCAGTGAAATTTGCGACTAATTTTCACATTTTACATAAACAGCAGCATCTTACGAAACCTCCCCAGGTGTGTTGTTCATTAAGAACTCTGCCAATATCCAACCATCTTAACCTTGCGCTTGGTCAAAAGAAACATACACTACTTCGGAATGAAAAAGACCGCGATCTTTTCTCATCAAACTTCAATTTCCAGAAGTTATGCTTTGTTATGAATGAAAATCTGCAAAGAACGAAAATTATAATAACCGTTATGGCCACGTGATCAAACGAAGCATGATTCATTAACGAATTGTTGCTGAGTTTATTACAATCTAAAAGATTTATTGGTCCCTAATAGGTGAAAGAGCTGTGATAATAAGGCACATGCGGTTCACATATGAAAACCATCCCTGTGAACTCGCTTCTTTCACGAGATCAGTGGTAAGTTCGCTGCATAATTAGTGGTGTGTACCAGGAAATCTTCTACAGAATTTAAACGAACATAAATTGGCTGCAATGAATGATTGAAAAGAAAATCATAAAGTCTAGTCCATGAAGGTTAAATCGTCAAGTACAAACCTAGTAACTCATTACTAAAAGATATTATCCAGGATTCTGTAGCATGAAATGGGTAAGATTTTAGTCAAAACCCCTCTCCCTCTGGGAAAGATGTTGGTCCCTTATAACCTCACCTCCCCTTCTCCTCCCAAAGGTCTGTCCTGGTTCCTGGTACTTATCTATACACACTGGTAAAGAGTAGCCAATGGAACTCTTCATATCTTTTTTCAATTTTCCGACGGCGGAAATGATGTTACTCTATCAAAGGCGTACCCCACCTCACCCCACGCCTGAGCGGAGTACAAAGTCACTCCTGAGGTCTTATTTCCATTTATGACATAACTTACAACGCTACAACGAGCGCTCTGATTGGTCAAAAATCTATTGCTTATTTACCTGTATACCCATAGTAAACTGAAATATCTTCCCGTCCTGTCAAATGGCGCCACGCGAGGCGAATTCCTAGATTTTAATTTTTTAAGAGCCCTTGGTCTGGAGAACACGACGAGGACTCTTTGAACGCCAAAAGAACGACAAAAATTTTATCTCTAACATTATAAGATTTTACTTTTAACATTAAAAATTTTTCTGGTGTTCTCCCAACATCCCCAAGTGTGGTTTATTGCTTAATTAAAAGGGAAAACAATTAAACAAGTCAATGGTTAATAGAATTGATTACAACGTTTTTCAACGACCTTTTTTGCAAGAGAATTTTCTAACATCTTTATTTAAACTGAAAAATTGTTACCTCCATGATTATGATATAACAATAACATTCAGTATAAGCAGAACAAGTTAATAAGTCTTACTTGCTCAATATAAGATAAGATAAGATAAGATAAGATAAGACAATTTATTTTATGTCAAAAAATACACAGAGGATGGTCTCCCAATCCCCCGAGCCAGAGGCTCGTGATAAAAGTGTTTGACGATAATATATTTCTTCTATTCTTCCCTAATTGTGACAATAATATATTTCCCTGAAAACTACTCTTCCCTAATTGTGACAAGCCAAATACATACCGATTAAAGCTAACACTCACAGTGAGTTAGAAAAGCAAAAAGCACCTCAGATCCAGCTCTTGCGACTGATTTCCCCTCCCCTAACCATTAGTACAAATACTTCAGTGTCACCTTTACCACCAATTCTGGTTGGTTTCTGCTACAGTTGTTAATATGTTATTGAAACTTGTAATTCGACCAAAGTTGAATTCCAGTTTTGTTTTCGAATTCGTTCAAAATGATACGTGGTACTCAATTTATCATGACACATCAGTGCCTGCCAAAAACGACAACGAGATGTTAATGTGTTCGAGCTCCATATTCTCAACTTTTTGAATACATACAGTAGGAAGTTTTTCTGCGATAAAACTAAAAATTTTTGGGAGCCCTATCAAGATTTTCTAAATCGCTTCTAACTACACGCAAAATTATCTTGATTTTAAAGGAAAAATACAAAAAAACTTAGTTTGATTATAAAAAAAAATTTAAAAAATAGTAATGCTAATAAAATACATGTTAAAGGATATTACTAAACCGAGACGAAACATGGATGGCCAAGTGCGAGAGATGGAAAAGATTAAAACGGCTTGAAACTGACGAACTTGAAAAGCTAATTACTTTAAGTCAAATGTTTTCGTCTCTAAGAGTAATAGGTATTAAGTCTGGATATTTTCGATAAGATTTCTTCCAGACAAGTGATAAAACAACATTAACATTAAAACAACAGACTTGTAAGGAACAGCTGAAGAGGCAAATTTCGTTTTTGAAAAAAAGTCTATTTCAAAGTGTACACTTTTTTTTCGTCAAAGCTGGTCACAAGAATACGCCCATCTGGTGCTGTTGTTATCGCAGTAGGTGTTGGTAAACGAGTAATACTTTTGCCTGTGAAGCGACCATCCAAAGAAAACTGCTGAACTCGATGATTGCCAAAGTCACATACAAGAAGATTATTGGAGCTGTCTACAAGCAGACCATGCGGACTTTCAAATCGTCCATCTTGACTCCCTTGTGTGCCAAACTCGTATAAGAATGTTCCTGACTGATCAAAAGTTTTTATGCAGTGATTACCTTCATTAGATACGAGAAACATGGCTTTGCAAGGAATGCAGCAGTTTGGCCGATTGAGTTTCCCTGGGGCCTTCTCTCCAAATGTGAAAATAGATTCCCCATCCTTAGACGTCACCTGTATCCTATTATTGCCCCGCTCGGTTACAACAATACGCTCTTCATCGTCCACAGTAACCTCTGCTGGAGAATTCAACTCTCCTTTTCTTTTAACGCATTTCCCGAAACTTTTCACCACAGTTCCTGTCTGAATATTCAATTTCTGTAATCTATTATTGCCTCGATCTGCAATTAGGACCTCGTTGTCATTTAAAAACGAAATGCCATTAGGGTAATCAAATTGTCCTGCCTCGCTACCCTTGCTTCCAACTTTTCTTAAACAGTTGCCATATTTATCAAAAATATAGACACAATGGCCAAAGTAATCTATTAAAGCTATCTCGCCTTTCGTATTCACAGCAATTCCATATAATCCTTTAAGCCTATCTCCAGGAAAGAACTTTAACTTCAACTCACCGACCACGACAAGTTCACGTTCTTTGACTTGCACGGTCATAGGACAGGTAGGTAGTTTATCGCCATTAATCTTCACTTCAATACTGTAGGCCCCAGGTACTTTGGAAGTAAACATCAGGCTAACATTTCCGTCATCTTTGTTTTCAACAATCACGTTTGTTACATCTTTAGCGGGTTTTATCAGCAATTCGACTTAATCAACCTGGTCACTTATCTCTCCTCCATATGTCTTTGGGCACAATATAAACTCTGCTGATACCCCAGCCTGAAAAGCTTGATCCAGTCCTTTAAGAGTTGATTTAGCTGCGTTTGCCGGTTTTCCAGTGACTTGGAGGGAACCCAGTTTAAAATTCTGTTGCGATACCGCAGTGAACTTGACAAATGTCGTCTGGCGATGTTTTGGAACTTCAACTCGACGAAGCTCTTCAAATGTTTGCCTCAAAGTTTTCTTGTTCTGTATGATATCCAAGCCTGAGCTTATCTGCACCAGATTTTCCGCAACCTCAGCTGCTTGGTTCATTTGTTTCACCAGAGATTCCAGTTGTTGTTTAGCCGAGTTGATTCGCTCGATTCTCTTCCTACGCGTTATTTCTAAGGACTCTAACAGTTGTTTTTCTTGCTGTCGCGCCTTTGTGATCACGAGTTCCGCTGCCTCAGACACTTCTTGTTTAGCGATTGCGATAATCATTTCCACATTCTCAAGTGCTTTCTCAAATGTTCTAATCTCTCCTCGAAACAAGTTTGCCTTTTCCTTGATGAACTCGACATTCGAAGTAATGTTCATCTGATCCTCTTGCACTGCTTTTTCGAGCACGACAAACGCATGGCCTCGGTGGTCTTCGGCGACGCAAATTGGACAAATACACGCTTCACACAAGGAGCAGTAGTATCTTTCTCTTTCTTTATCGTGTTGCAGGCAAGTCTTCTCTAACTTGTGGTCTCTGCGGCTGAATGGCTTCGCGATCTTCTGCTTCAAGGACACCTATGAGACTTTTGTGAAAAAAGCTGTTGGGCAAACGATCGAAGCGATTTCCTTCTGGCAAATCGATTTCTGCTTGGCACTCGGGGCATCGATATTTTCCTTGTCTCTGGCTCACTCTTGCATGTCTCTCCAAACACTCACAGCAAAACGTGTGGAGACATGATATAGTTTTGGGCTCGGTGTAGGTATCGAGGCAAATCGAACAAGTGACTTGTTTCTTGAGATTTTTCAAGAAAGGATCCATGACAATCGCCTTCAATTAATTGCAGTATAGATCCGTCATCTAATTGACGAGCCCTATTCAACGAAATCCAAGATATTATTCAGTTTATGCGGGAAAACAGCACGAAGAAGGTCCATAACAACTGTCTTTTTCGCAGCCAATCGCAATCGAATCCAAGATATTACTTCAATTTACAAGAAAACAGCACGAATGAAAGTCCATGACAACTGTCTTTTTCGCGGCCAATCACAATCGAAGGTTTAAGTGACCTTTTTAATTCGTAATTATGAGTAGACTTAGATAATAATGGAAACGAAAGCCGTTTGCTTCCATACCTTGAAAAAAAGCTTAACGAGGCCGTGAGATTATCAAACATGTGAGGATAGATTCCAGTTACAATTAATTGTAGAGCTACAGCTTTTGGTATTAAAGAAGTTATTGAACAACGCTTAGCATCGTGACTGGATTAGAATTCGTATTTTTGTCTTCAGTTCAGACAGGAAGGCACGCGAGCTGAGTTATGGAAATTTTTAGCCACCTGTCGCTTGTATAATTCGCGTCTCGTTAAGTTTGCTTTTTGTTTGCGTAAAATAAGGTGGAGGGGGTGTATTACAGTTTCATGCGTTAGACGTTTACTTTAACAAACAAGTTGCCGGGGTTATATCTTATCTTTTTTACGTATGGGCACTTCCCACTTGTCTGAACTGACCGAAGGTTTCGCAGCAGAAATAGGTCCCTAATAGTTATTTATGTTAATCATCCAACTACAATCAGTAGGGTAGAAATAACGCCAAAGCATCATGCAGTATTTGTACTCCAGAGGACCGGTTTGATAGGTTTTCTCGCATCGCGCAAGCGACAAATTGGATTGAAGTTACAAATAAAATGACGCTCATCATTTTTCTGACGACGAAGAGTCGGAATGGCTGAAAAATGTTGATCCAAGTTTATTAGATAAATCGAAGGAGGAAAAGCAGTTAGACGGCCATGAAATTTCATCATTTATTAAAGCAAATAGAAACAGCATCACGACAACACCCCAATTCCGTTCCGCCTCGTGTACTTCTGTCACGCTATCCAAGTAAATAAATATCCGCGAAATTCGCCCGCACTGAAATAATAATTTGGCGAGTTAGATAATAAATAACTTATTAGACGTTTAGGTGTGTCGTATCGCTGAATATTTTTACCCGTTATTTGTATGTTGACTCGCCCTACGGGCTCGTCAAAATACGGCACAACTCGTAAAAGTACTCAGCGATATTACACAGCAAAACGTGTAATTCATCATCATCATCATCAGTCTTCTTCGTGCTCTGTTACGCATAAGGCCTTGATACTTCCCTTCCAAACGTGTAATTAGATATGTTTATTTCAGCAACTTTTTAGCATTTTAATTAGCAACTTTTAAGCATATTAATAGCTTAATCGGACAGGCCTAAATCAAAAAAAGAAAAAAAATGTTGGAAATTAGTGATAGTCCAGCTGTTATCGACCCAAAAAACACTGAATTGTTCAATTTGATGATAAAAGCATGAAACTTGGACACATTACTAATGACCCTATGAATAACACTTTGTGATATAGGGCCATCCAAAATAAACGTCTGGAGATGAGAACTACGCATGTCAAAAATTAGCCAACATGGACACGAGGCTGAGGACGAAAATCATATTTAAACGATATTGTTTGGAGCAATATGTCACAAAGGCTTGCAAACATGAACCACTAAGTCATTTAATAAATTTTGATATTTATTTAATGCTATCACGTGACTACCTTCCTTTATATTTGTCATAGTATTTGGGTTCCCTGTGGTGAAACGTTAGAATATATATGTTTCCATTTTTTTTAGGGGATAACATAATGGGGTGTTGTCAAAAAATAAAAAATGCACAAAGTAACATACCGCTAGAATCCCGCTTAGGGGCTGGAAGGTTTTGCCTCGGCACTAGAGCCAAGGACTCGCACGGTTTTCAAGATGGCAGCCACCATCACTTACAGTGATTTCAGGTGAAAAACATTTATGATTTGTTGTTGTTGTTGTTGTTAACAACTTTACCGGGTGTGACTAGACCCGGAAGGGTTAGTGTTAGTGCGAACGGAACACAAGGTCCATGCGAGGCACCACCCCTCCCCCCGATTCACCCTGGATAGACACTGCACAAAGATAGACCACAACACAGGGCACTACGTGCCTTACTCTTTTCGAGGAGTGTGTGGGTTCTTTAACGTCCCACAAATTTAAATCACATATAAGGGGTTGTGAGACGGGACCTCCATTTATCGTCCCTATCCGAGAAGACTAGAAAGTCTAACCGTTTGCAGAAATTATCACAAAGGTAGCAATTTCTACTCAGTTATTTAAAGACCCTGAGTGTTGGTCCGGCCGGATTTGAACTCTCGACCTCCCGCACAACAGTCCGGCGCTATACCAATTGAGCTAGCCGGGAGGTTAGCTCAATTGATATAGCGCCGGTATTTCACGTAAATATGTTATTTTTTGCCTTTATTAATGAGAAATAGATTATTCTACCCCCAGAACAAGATGTTAGTGAAAAATACCCAGGAATTCAAGAAGCTAGGGATCAGTGTCATTAGCTGTGAGTTGCCGCTAGGTGAAAACGATGTATTCGAACAAACGCTACTCCACAACAAAGCCTCCTGGCACAAATCGTGCAGAGATCTGTGTAATAACACCAAGCTAGGGCGTGCAAAGAAACGAAAAATAGCTGATGCTGCAGAAGAGGAAATAATAGATGAAACAGAAGAATAAATTCCCTCTGGCCCTGTGAAAGCTAGGAGATCTAGTGTAGAACGTTATAATCCCCAAAGGCAATGTTTTTTCTGTGACGAATACGATAGTTCTGGCATCTTCATTCTGCATTGACCCTAGATGTTGACAAAAGGGTCAGAGAGTGTGCCGCTGTTCTAAATGAGAAAAAACTTATTGCTCAACTGTCTGTTGGTGATTTAATTGCCATGGAGGCAAAGTACCATGCAAAGTGCTTGGTTGCCTTGTATAATAAGGCCAGACTTTTTAAACAAACACAGCATGAAAAAGGAGATTTACGCAAAATTAAAGTTGCGTAAATCTGTGTAAAGTTCGTTAAGCAACTTTACGCTAGCTTTATTATGGTTGTAAAGACGTTTAAAGGTAGATTTACGTAATCGGACTTAAAGCTCTCTTAAAGGTATCGTAAAGCTGAAGAGTCAGATTTACGGTCACTGTAAAGTTTGCGTAAAGCTAAACTTGCTAGACTGAAATAAGAGTTGTTGTGAAGCTAGCAACAATTTGTCTAGACATATTAATGCTGTTTTAGATTTTACCTAAAGGTTGTGATAAGCCATATATGATAGCGCACAGTATGTGTATGATCAAGGTTGCTGTGCACCACGTCAACCCCTCACAGACTCTAGTCATCGCATTAGATCAGCCACTGTTTGCCTTAGCAAAGCAAATTAAGTAGCCACTTCCCGAGTTCAGTGAAGCACAATTCGTCATTATGCTTGGGGGACTGCACATAGAGATGACATCCCTCAAAATGGTTGGTAAGTGGCTGAGTGGCAGCGGGTGGGCAAAGGTCATGTGTAACGCAGGAGTAGCAACGCAAAGGGTAGCAGAGTCATTTCTGTCGGCAAGCCATGTAACCCGTACACGACACGCACACCAGGTGACGGCTGCAAGTCTACATATTCTGATGAGTAAAGCCTACAGTGTATATCAAGCCAAATTGCGAGAAAATGAGCAAGAAAACCTGTTGTCGAAAGAAGAATGGAAAGATGGAATGTCGAAAAAGTCCCCGCAGTTTCATTACTGGTCAAAAGTGCTCAATCTGGAGTTGATCTGTCTTCGGCTGGTGAGAGCTCTCCGAGAAGGTAACTTTTCTTTGTACATCAACGCCTTACGACAGATACTGCCATGGATGTTTGTGATGGACCATTCTAACTACGCCAAGTGGCTTTCTGTGCACTACGCAGACATGTGTGTACCTCAATCCACTCATCCAAGTGTGTACAAATATTTCATCGATGGCTCTTTTGTAGTACACAAGACCACCAAACTGTTCTCGTCCATAGCGCTAGATCGTTGTCACGAGCAGGTTAATGCCGTCGTTAAAGGAGAAGGAGGCGCAGTTGGCCTTACCGAGAATCCAGCGGCCCCAAGAAGATGGATTGTGGCAGGTCCTGAAATATCCAGAATGGTTCACGAATTTGAAGGCGGAAACTCTTGGACAGAGGAAAATGTGACCCATCACGAGCAGAAGCCGGCGGTCCAGAATGCTTTCTCCAAAGACGTTCTGAATACTGTATCTTCATATGAAGAACTTGGAAACCCGTTTTTGGAAGAAGGTGAAAACCTGATGGCGATCCATACTAAGGATATCATGGATGATACTGTAGTCAGAACTATCCGCGATGCAAGAAAGATTGGAGAGGAACAATTCAATTCGTTTATTAAAGAGCGATTCATTGACAGAAGCAAGCCAGTTACATACCCGCTTAAGAAGAATAATCTCCCTATAATGAACACTCCGAACAAGAAGATCGTTTCGAAAGACAAGGCGAAAGTGGAAGTTTTGAAGGAGGACTGTTCTCTGTTTTCGAGGCTGTACATAGCCTGTCAAATCCGGAATGGAAACTTGGAAGATTTCTTCAAATATGAGAACCAACTATGGCGCCATCATTTTCACAGCCTGGCCAGCTCAGGGGAGGACATAAGGAAGACTTGCTGAAGTATTTTCCCAGCACATCAGCTCATATCGCACCTCAACCGGTCGTTGATGCAGTCATTATTGATGGAAAATCAAATGAAGGAAAGATATAACCGTTTAATATTCTGAGATAAACTAGTTTAACCAATATCGTTATTCAGAAAACACTGCAAGCATGTATATTCAATGTTTCACCAGAGTACCCAAATACTTCAATAAATATAAAGGAAGATAGTCAAATGACAGTCACATGATAGTCACATGATTAAATAAATATCACAATCTATTAAATGACTTAGTGGTTCGTGTTTCCAAGCATTTGTGACATATTGCTCCAAATATCGTTTAAATAGGATTTTTATTCTCAGCCTCGTTTCCATGTTGGTTAATTTCTGACATGCGCAGTTCTCCTCTCCAGAAGTTTATTTGGTATGGCCCTATATCACAAAATGTTAGTCTTAGGATCATTAGTAATGTGGTCAAGTTTTATACTTTTATCATTTAAATTGAACAATTTTGGTCGATAACCGCTAGACTATAAAACAAACGGCATTTCAAAACTAACAAATTTCACTTACGTTATTGGTAAATAGTAGTTGCCGGACCACCTGGACCCACCCGGGTTTAGAAATCAATGACTTTCAAATAGATAAAGCACAGGACCAGACTTAACAAATCTGTTTTTCCTTGAACAAGCTTCGATAAAATAAAAAGCGTTGTAACAAAACAATACCATATGCTGCGATTCGCTTAATCCGAGACGAACATTAATTAAATAATTACTTGCACATGTCACGCATCGCTTTTCGTTTCGTACATTGCCTTTTGCTCATGGAAAACGCCCTGATCCTCCTTTGTCTCTTTAGGATATCTTAGTTTGTTCTATCTAACTCACACAAAAGCTTCAGTTAATGAATAATGTGCTGTTGTTTCTGATGGTATGGTGGAAGAAAATCATTTCCGATTACTTTCGATCTAGTTGACCAACACTCAAGGTCTTAAAATAACTGAGGAGAATGTGCTATCTTTCTTATAATATGAAGAAATGGATAGACATTCTAATCTCCTCGAATAAGGACGAATAAACCGCAGGTCCCGTCTCCGGTATCTACACTGAGTTAATTTCGTTAGGCAGGGGACAAGAGCCCACTCACGAGATGACTGCGATGTGGTCTGGCCTGTTTACTGGGAATTGTGTTCTCGGCCCGCAGTAATTGGCGTAAGCTGTTGTGGAGTACCTGCCTGTATCGGCGAAACCAATAAAATAAAATTGCCTATCTTATTGGCTTCCCCTGTGTGGGGTCTCACAGGCTTCGTGTTAGGGCCATTGCTGTTTCTTATTTATATCTATGACATTTACAATGCTTCGGATAAATTAGCATTTTATTTGTTCACTGACGATACAAATCTGCTATTTTCCGACAGAAATCTTAAATCTCTTGAAACAGTGGTAAATGTGGAACTAATGAATGTTTATGATTGGCTAGCCTCAAATAAACTCTCTTTAAATGTGAAGAAAACCAATTTTGTCATCTTTCATCCCAGCCAGAAACGACTTAATTACAAAGTAAATCTAAAAATATATGATAATAACAGAAAACATTTCATTTGCCTGGAGCGTAAAGACTATGTGAAATATTTAGGTGTACTTACTGACTGTAACCTTACCTGGAAACATCGATCATGTCAGTCATATTGCATCAAAAATAAGTAAAGGCATTGGTATAATTTATAGACTAAGGCATCTTGTACCATATTCGACATTATTAAATATATACAGATCACTCATTTATCCTTATTTATCATATGGCCTTGTCGCTTGGGGCCAAGCAACTAGGTCTCATATGAATAAAATATTGATACTCCAGAAAAGGGTTGTGCGATTAATGAACTTTTCCAACTATAATTCACACGCCATTCCTTATTTTATGGATATATCAACAAAGTTGAAGTGGCCCTCTGGCTGCCCGAGTCGTGTAATAATATGTTATAATAGATACATACAGGAGTATAATGCATACAGGAATATAATAAAAAATTACAATTGTATCAGAAACTATAAAAAGATAAAATATCACTAAGATCGAGTAATACTAGGCAATTCGCTCCGACGAAGGGCTAACGCTCGAAACGTCAGCTTTTGTAATCATTACGGTGGCCAATTTACCATTTCAACTTTGTTGATATATCCAAATTATTTCGTTACTCCCACCGACGCAGCCCCAAACAGTTTCTTTCGAAACTATCAGCCTTTATTCCTTATTTTATATCGGCTAATATTATGCCAATTAATAAACTTTACATTAAACTCTCTTCTCTCTTATTGCATGATGTCAATAACAATTTAACTCTTCCCACCTAATCTTTCTGGTTTTTTTCACTCTTTCCCACCAAATACACAATCATAATACCCGATCTTCATCTGCCGGTAACTATTACATAAACTGTACTAGGCTAAATTAACACAAAAACTCATTCTCTGAGGATTAGTTGTAAAATTTGGAGTAGCATCCCAGTACATAAACCTAAGGAATCTTCCAAAACATATTTTCAAGAAAAAGATGACAACAATATTATTTCAAAATCTTTAAGTTCAGAATAGTTATGTTGACGTAGAACGAACAATCAATAATGTGTAGAAAGTTAAATCCAGTTAATAGTAGTGTATAACTTATGTATTCTTCTATTTATTGTCATGATGTGTTTCTGTTTCTGTATTTTTATCTCATACTGTCATTTGTGATTTACTGATTTAATATTTAATTTCTGGTATATTTACTGAATCTTTTGTTGAGCCGAATTTTATTCTAGATGTTTTAGCGTCCACACACTACCCACTGAGACTAGCTCTGCTATTTGTGGGTAGTGCGTCATTATGCTAAGTGTCATGTCATGTCATGTCATATCTGATTACAATAAAATACAAAAACAAAAAAAACAAAACATTCATAGGTCCGCAATACGTTTAAGAGGTGTGATTATTCGGTGTAGCATGCGAGATTTAGAACATGTGTGAGTCAACCCTATCAGCTCTTTACTTTCACGGGATCAGTGTTAAGTTCGCTGAGTATAAATCACATGTACTTATCCTCTAGAGAATTTATGTGAACATTTAGTTTCAGCAGTTTTGATGAATTTTGAGTAATAATAAGAATGATAATGATAATTGCAATAATGATAAATAATTATAATGATAGTAATAAGCCACTCATAGTAGCATCCGTGAGGATTAAATCTTACATTTAAATTTAGGGACTCATTACTTCAAGAAATTATCCAGGTTTTTATAGCATGAAATTATGAGGATTTTGTTGCCCTCCCCCCTCCCACCCCTGTCAGGCCATTGCAGATTACTCCCCCCCCAAAGATAACAGTACGAACGATCTGACAGGCTCTTACAAGCCACGGGCTGTATAACCAAAAGTGAGTACCCCTGTTATCACAGGTCTGTTCCAGTTTCTCTATGGCCAATTGTACTCACAGGTAGAGTATAAAGGAATTCTGGGTACACTTGTTTTTTCATTTTTCCAAAGCAGTTAAACTGAGTATAACGATTAATTTTTATACTTGTACATTTTTAACCACATTGTAATTCAGATTAACTGCGATGATGGTGGAATGACTAATAATAATAGTAATAATAATAATAATAATGACAATAAAAATAAAGGAGGTTTATTATTAATTAAGTTGGTAAGCATTTTTTGAAATAGTTAGTCCAAATGAAGTCTTCAAATGACTTTCTTTCAAAGCCCTATTTAAAACTATAACATAGCTAGCAGAGCCGCGCAATCAAATTCATTATACGTAAGCGTGCTCAAAATCTCGATAGTGCACGCTGATAGCGTGAGCAAATCGCTTCACCAGAAATTTTTATTTTCGCGCGAGCGGTCATTGTTAGCGCGGGGAAAAATAATATATTTCGTGACAGTAATGGATACAAACAGAGACTCGGCACACCAGTCCCAAAACGAAGAAAATTTTCCAACCTTTTCCCTTAGGCTAGAGTTCTTAAATGAGGCAAAAAAAAAGAGAAAAACAACGGAAAAGGAGACTCGGCATCAGCGCCGTCACGATTCGCTTCTGATATTGTTGTTCGTTTTTCGCGTCGGATTTGATGCACAATTCCACCGGCTATGTTATAAAACAATTGGTTCATGCTTTTAGCTGCGTACTATCGAGTTATGGAGCACTTTTGGGAAGTTTGGAGGGCACTCAACAAGCTAGAGTTGCCCTCGGCTAAAGCCTTGGGCAACTCTTACGCTTCTTTCGTGCTCTCCAAACTTCCCACGAGCTCCATAACTCGATAGTGCATTCTAGAGTATGAAACAATTGTTAACTGGAAGCAATTTTTTTTAATTATTGAAAACACAACTAAGTAAAACTACCTTTTAGGTTTCATTAACTAAATGTATTTCTCATTTGTCTTCCCTCATTTCAGTCCGCGGGTAACATCATTTTAAGTGTTCGCACGCAGAAACTGAAAACGCTTGCTTTCAAAAGGAGCTTGCTTATGACTAGTTTCTAAAACCCGTTGACAGAAAAAGAATTGCTATTTTAGAAAATTGGTCGCCAACCAAATTGATGTTACGATAAGGTTGATAGGGGACTTATTTCTTTTGCAACTAAACCATTAGATGTACATGCACAATAGTCATTACTGACTGAATGACCCTGAACCTTTTTTTCTGAAAAAAAAAAAAAACCGCATAGATCGGATTAAAGAAGGTGCTGACGTTTCGAGCTGAAATAGCTGAATGGAAATTTAATACCCCGGAAAAAATATTTCTGTGATAACGAGATTTGTCCTCATTTATAACTTGACTTGAGTTTGCTATTACTAACGGACCCACTTTAGCGCTAAATTTTCGGTCAATCCAGACCGTAAATAAGAAGTGTCTATAATAGAGAAATACGCCCAGCGCAATTTTCGCAACTTACGCATGAAGGATCAGCTTTTTATATCCCCCCTCCCCTCTTTATGGCTCGTGATTTGACTCAAAATCTGCAAGAGAATTAGG